AGCAAGTGGCTAACAGGACTCAGTGGCCGAGTGGATAACGTGATGGCGTTTGAAGCGAGGGTACTGGGTTCAAGTACCAGAGTGAACATCAACTCTGAGATGCAGGTACATCCAGCTGACGAGTCTCAAATAGGACGAAACGCGCGTCCTGGATGCCACTGCTAGCCACTATCCATCACTGCTAACCATCTTAGTACTGTAGCTGTAAATAATTCCCCAAAATCAATAGCACATTAAGTGTTCGTCATTGGATGCTGACCACGTTGTTTAAGTGGACTTGTTTAGATGAAGGCTTTCGGTGATGCATCTGTACCAGATTACGTTTCAACACGGCGTGGGACACAGCTCCTACGTTCATTAGCCAGCTTATAGTAAAGGTTCCTCGATATATTGGTAACGCATCAAATATATCTTTCCTACCTCTCCTCATCTGACTTCTGGTTTCTATTCGACTGGGAAAGAACGATTATAGAAGATACTACTGGTTGCTAGTTGCCAAACTAGAATATCCGTGGCATCCTCAGTGGTGAGACCGATCTGGTACACCAAGTCAATATACTGTGAGTCTGTTCCATTTTGGAATATTATTATTCATTGTCATTCTTTATTTGAATTTTATATATTGTAATATACTTTTTTACGCGAATTTTTTTTCCCCGAATGTATTTTAATTAGACATTTTTCGTTATCTATATTACTATGACGGAACACTCTCCTAAGGTTCATAAGTTTAAGTCCATTCCCCCTATTTCGATTCAGTTAACGCCATTTTGGCCCGACAATATCGAGTCCTGGTTCTGCTACGCAGAAGCCGATTTTTGCATGCACGGAATCCCGGACTCGCGCACACGTTTCCTCGCAGTAGTTAAGGCGTTATCGCGCGAGATTAACAGGTACTTAACACCTAGTATGTTTACTAGTGTTGTTCCCGAACCTTACGAAACGCTTAAGCTATCGATTTTAAAACGAGGAGACCTAACTAATCGACAACGGTTAGACCAACTCCTTAACAATATCGACTTGCAACATGGTTCTGCGACGGACATGTTGCTTAGAATGAGAGAAGTCATCGGCCAACGAACTTTCGATGATGGCCTATTTAGACAACTTTTCTTGCCTAAACTCCCTCAACAGGTGCAGGCAGTGCTTGTTTCATTTCAAAATAATGCCATAGATGAACTAGCTGCATCTGCCGATCGAATCTTGGAAATCACCAAATTTTCTAAGACCGAGGTTTTTTCCATCAAAGAAAAACCCCAATCGACCTCGACTGACATAGCCGAACTATGTCACACGCTTACACGATATCTTAGAGTTCGCAATGACCGTAGTCGGTCAAAAACCCCGCGTAGAAGCGCCTCACGTAAGCGATCTGGCTCTCGACCAAGAGATACAGACAATCCCGACTGGTGCTGGTATCATAACCAGTACGGTATGTTTTCGAGAAATTCCAGGAAACCTTGCAATTATCCGACCTCAAAATCGACTGACACGAATAAGACTTCAGGGAACTTCCCAGCCGGCACGCGTTAACGACAACCGTAGCCGGCGAACACAGCCGCCTCTTATATGCCACGGATGTGACTACGAAAGTTCGCTGCCTCGTCGACACTGGCGCAGAAGTTAGCGTTCTTCCAGCAAATCCCGACGACAGACTTCGCGAGTCTGTTTTAAGTTTACAGGCGGCAAACGGAAAGCCGATCGCTACTTACGGTAAAAGGTACTTCTACCTTAACGTGGGTTTACGCAAACCCATATACTGGATTTTCGTGGTTATCTGTTTGCGTAACTCCTCGTTCTGGCTGCAGGTTATCCCCAGTCACGATTAAGCACACCATAGACACATTGTACCAAACAGTACTCGACAAATACCCCGGGATATACCAATCACAATCGAAATTGCCTTGTGTAACCAGCAATGTTACACAACACATCTCGACTACACGACCACCTGTATTCTCGAAAGCCCGTCCACTCGCTCCCGAAAAACTTAGGTTGGCTAAAAACGAGTTCGACCATACTATAGACTTAGGGATAATTCGACCATCGAATAGTCCATGGTCATCCCCATTGCACATGGTCCCTAGAAAGGACAGCACCTGACGACATTCCTAAAACCGCCATCATCACTCCTTTCGGTCTTTACGAATTCTTGCGAATGCCTTTTGTTTTAAGAAACGCTGATCAAACCTTCCAAAGGTTTGTAGACGACGTCTTTCGAGGTCTCAACTTCGTACATGCGTATGTTGATGACTGTCTAATAGCAAGTTCGGACAGAGAATCGCATCTCAAGCATCTGGACATTGTTTTCGATCGACTCCAAAGGCATGGCATTACTGTCAACATACAGAAATGCCAAATCGGAACAAAATCCTTAGACTTCCTAGGACACACCATTGATGCCCAAGGCATCCGACCCCTTAGGAGCAAAGTGGCGGCCATTCTGGATTACCCAGAACCGACCACGATCAAGCACTTACGAACTTTAAACGGACTTGTAAGTTTCTATAGACGATTCATACCCAAATGCGCATCCCTTATGAAACCGTTAACCGATCAGCTTCGTGGAAATGCGAAATCAATTAGTTTAGACGACATAGCCCGTAAAGCATTTTCCACAGTTAAGGAACACATCGCTAAAGCAACCTTGCTTGCTCATCAGGACACTCAAGCGCCCATTAGTATCGCCGTAGACGCATCCGAATTAGCAATCGGAGGAGTGTTACAACAATCGGTTAACAACTCGTGGCAACCCTTAGGATTTTTCTCGAGACGGTTGCTAGACGCGGAATCTAGGTACAGCACTTTCGGTAGGGATTTCCTAGCTATGTATTGTGCTGTACGGCATTTCCAACATTCCATCGAAGGAAGAGAATTCACACTTTTTACCGATCACAAACCTCTTACCTTCTCTTCAAGTTCATCTTCAGACAAGTACTCACCGCGAGAGTCTCGACAACTCGACTACATTTCGCAGTTTACTTCAGATATACAACACATTTCTGGAGCAAACAATGTAGTTGCAGACGTTTTGTCTCGAATAAGTTCCTTGAACAGTTTCCAATGAATCGACCTTCTTAAACTCGCTCAGCTTCAAAAAGAAGACATTGATCTTCAGCATGAGTTATCCTCGACAACTCTAAAACTAAGTATTAGGCAGATGGGAACAGGTAAGGAAACCTTACTGTGACACATCTACAGGTAGGGATCGTCCAATAGTACCAAAACATTATCGATGCAACGTCTTCAATAAGTTGCACAGTCTTTCTCATCCAGGTGCTCGTACAACAGTCAAACTGATAGCCCAACGTTTTTGTTGGCCTGGCATGAATAAAGACGTGAGGGAGTGGGCACGCTCCTGTGTAAGGTTATAAGACACAGCAAATGTCCCTTAGGCTCTTTCAAAACCTCTGACGCTCGTTTCGACCATGTTTATCTAGATTTGGTAGGACCCTTACCCGACTCGAATGGATACTCATATCTCCTAACATGCGTAGACCGTTTTACTCGATGGCCAGAAGCAGTACCGATTAAGGACATTACTGCTGAAACCGTGGCCCGCGCTTTCGTCGAACGATGGGTAGCAAATTTCGGCTGCCCCTCAAATATCGCTACAGACCGAATCTGGACTTTTCCGTTGTCTCACGGAACGACACTCCGACTCCCAGGAAAATTCGTAGATCCTTCAGCTTCTTCATTGAACATGGATCTAAACTCTTACACGAGTAGGCTTACAAACGCTATGCGTTCAGTTAAACCTGCTCACACTCGACCTCAATCAGCTGATGTTTTCGTTCAACCATAATTACGACATAGTACACATGTCTTCGTTCGTCGATATTCACATCGACGACCCCTCGAATCAGCATACGAAGGACCCTTCAAAGCTCTTCAACGCGGACCTAAGTACTATGTAGTAGATAATAACGGTACGAACGATAGCATCAGTATCGATCGACTCAAAGCAACGTACTTGGAAGGAAACCCTAGCTACGTCTACTTTCCGTCGGTACAAGCAAACGACATAGCCCCTACACTCGTAGTACCCTACACGACAACCGACACACAACTTGATGCTTCGTTAACATCGATAAATAAACCTAAAACAACGCGTTCTGGAAGACGAGTCAGATTTCCAGAACATCTTAACGAATATTGCACGTAGGACATAAGCTTTATCTTAAATTACCCTTCCACAGTTTATTATAAAAAAAATTTTTTAATATGATAATTTTTTATTTATACAAAAAAAACCAAAAAAAGCGAAACATAATATTTTGGGAGCGTATATATATTTTTTATATATAAAAGAACCCAAAAAAACCCATTTTTTTTCCAATCGCTTTTACGTTGTTTGTAAGTGTATTAGTTTATTTTTTTCCGCTCATCTTGTGTCCTTATGCAAGTACGAGTGAATTTTCGACATGCACTCACACGTTTTATTTTTCCTCTTTTCCAGGACGGCTGGAAAAGAACGACGAAGTTTCGCAAGGAACCGAAATATTCATTGTGCTGTATTTCTTAATTGCTACATTGTAAATTTAGGTCCCTTAGTTTAAGGAACGACGACCAAACGCTGCTGAACGAAGCAAGCTATCAGAAGAGTGTTTACCAACGACAAACTCGTTGGGTTTAAACTTCTGGCTGGTCACGTCTTAGGGGTATCTCAACCTCACTAGGGGGGGGGGAGTGATCTGTAGCTGTAAATAATTCCCCAAAATCAATAGCTCATTAAGTGTTCGTCATTGGATGCTGACCACGTTGTTTAAGTGGACTTGTTTAGATGAAGGCTTTCGGTCATGCATCTGCACCAGATTACGTTTCAACACGGCGTGGGACACAGCTCCTACGTTCATTAGCCAGCTTATAGTAAAGGTTCCTCGATATATTGGTAACGCATCAAATATATCTTTCCTACCTCTCCTCATCTGACTTCTGGTTTCTATTCGACTGGGAAAGAACGATTATAGAAGATACTACTGGTTGCTAGTTGCCAAACTAGAATATCCGTGGTATCCTCAGTACCTTCAATGCTTTTTCGTAATCTTATGTTTTAATTTTCTTAGTCAGCAGACTTTTTCTCTATATCCGTGCTCACAAACTAGGTCACAGAAATCGGTTGTCACAGACTCACAGTCATGTATTTGATTGATTTCGGTGATGAGTCCAATTTCTGACAGGCACACAAGTATATTTTTTCTTGGAAAAGGTAACGTTCAGTTTTATTGCATTTTCGTACCCAAGGTGTCTGTATCCTTACAGATAAGTAGTTCGTTCTGCAAGTCAAACGCTTATGAGACACCGTTCATTTATCACTTATGATTGTAAATTTCCTTATATATCTGATTATTTTACACAAAATGTGGGACGATGTTTTAGGTTTGACAGGATACACTTATTTTTTTCGTTTGATGATCTGTGTCGAATGATTGGGAGCCTACTCGAGTATGTTGGGAATGGTGTGTGTAATATCTAACTTCGAAGTCACAGCTCAAGGTCAGCACCTAAAGTGGTTTACCATTTCGTCGTATCAAGATACTATAGATGCTTTGAAGACCGTAAAACTCAAAGGACGTTATTACAGAAATATATTAGTTAGAGTAGGTACAAGAGAAAGTCTGACTACTACCGCATGTGTTGTCGATGGCGTATGATTAATTGATGCGTGTTGGTTGTCCTCAACCTAGACAAGGATAGATGAACTGTTCGACATTTAGTGACCGAACTGCAGGATGATTTTGGTAAAGCTCAGTGACATTTCACTTCCCCTATATGGTAAACTACTGACAAACACAAGCATATGAGTTTACCAGAATAAAGTACGTGAACGTTATAGTCAATATAGATAAAATATAGAGCTACAGAGAGTCTGTTTGACATAATTAGATTATCTCATGTTTTCTTTTAAGGACATGTTTTTGCATTCACATTTATGAAGTGAGGACGAAAGTGATATGTGGCTGTCGGGCATGGAGATTGATAAAATAGAGGTATAATTTTTATCGCTGCAACTAATTGACCAAATGTGGCATAAAGATGGTAACTGAAATATTAAACAGAAGACACAAGAATCTCAACAGTGAAATAAGAGTACTATGAGTACCACAAGATCAGTAACTCAACTAAATACTTTAGTGCTTTGTTTTGTTTAAATGATTCACTGTGGGTTGTACTTTGGGGACGTATTGTTAACTAATATGGCGCTTTCTATAACAATCTAACAGTTACAAATTAAAAAGAATATGCTAATTGGATTAATTAAAAAGCTTGAGGCTGTAACCTTACATTAAAGACAAGGAAACCATGTCACATCACTCGGTATGTTGAACAAAATATATCTTGCATTTTGTTTATGTCATTTTATTGTTTTCGAAAATATGAAACAGGTTACAACGTACACAAGTTTGTTGTATCCAGAATTGCTGATATTTTCCATTTATCATACTAAATTTTACCAAATTATGTCACACAAAAACGATCAATTTCGCAGTATCTGTAGTTCTGTGTCATTTGCTAAATGTTCAAATCTTCTCTAGTGAGTCTATGTAAGTTGATCGATTTCTTAAAAAAGGAATCAAATCTTCGAGCAAACTGTTTGATAAAAACTGGTGATTTACAAGAACTAACGTGACTATTGTTTGGAGTCAGTTACGAATGTTTATACATACTCCAACATGATGTCAACATTAACACTCAAATACTGATATGAAAATTGGGTTTTGATTAGAGTTTTGTGACGAGTTAACAAAGATAATGCAGCCACTTAAGATTGTGCGGTTGCTGATTCTTATAACTACCACGTATTGAAACAAACATATTCTGTTGACACATTCCAAGTAAGACCAGATCTTCACAGTGATCTAGGTTGAAAAGAATAATATCGGTCGACTGACCGTCGATTCCTAACACCAAAGAACATAAACCGTGACTTACTGTTTTGAAGATCACATTGTCTGATTGTTTTCGTTGTGTCTAAATATTTTTGCACTGGCTTAAAGTAGGTCTAAAACCTCCTAATATATGAGCTAGTATGCTTCCCATGTGGTTTCTCGAATGCTATTGCTTTTGTGCTAGATTTTTTATGAATGTGCATTTTGTTTTAGTCTGCTAAATGAAGTCGAGTTCCTGTTTAATTATCTATGAACAATTAAGACTTTCAACTGAATGTATGTAAGACTTGAATGTATCAAGAAAAGGCTCTATAAATTATCGTCGAGGAGACACTGGGTGCTCAATGAATTCCGATAACGTTGTGCTCATAATCCAGTCTCTATGCCATTTAACTTTCATTGTTATTTCAGACTATGTTTGTTGGTTATGGTATTCTGAGGATATATTTACATCTCGTTGATTCCAACTATCGCGAAAGTCTCGTCAATCTTGGGGGGTTGGTGTCCGACAAAATTTCTCCGCCTGTCCAGAAACTTCAGTTGACCTTTGATAGCTAGTGCCAATTGTGGTAAAGACGAGACAATCGTCTGTCAACTAAAGACGACTTTATCCCTTATCAGCCTCCCTTGTTCTTTATAGACCTGATAAAATTGCCTTGAAAAATAAAGGACATTCGAAATTCGTCAGTGTTTGGTCACAGGGGTAATTGGTTGAGTAGTGTTGAGGTTATATATGGAGCACTAAACAACGATGATAAATTGGTCGGTGAGATGATGAGTGTGCGCCGATTGAGGTGGTTAAGGTATGTACCAAGTGTGTTTATAAACTGTCTACTTAGACGTACGACATTTGGTGTTATAGAGACAGGTTGACAAAAGCCAGAGTAAACAAATCAAGATATGAAATCAGTCAATAAAGTGATCGACCGTTGATCTTTGTTATGTTGGTAAATACTGACGACTTAGTTAGGATATGACTGATTACCGTATTCAGTGGTCAGAGACTTTAGTTGACATGGCTTGAAATTATTCATGGGGAAGAAGATAAGCCTAATCTTTGTCTTCCATTCAACTTTGGATTCCAGAATTTCTTTATGTATACATTTTACTCTCTCTTTTCAAAAGATATTATCAACTTTTAAATTTTCTCACTAATATTGTTGTTAGACTATCCGGCGTCTTCTATTAATCATCTTGTTAAAATATTTCTGATATGGTTTGCGTGTTTAGACCACTGCATAAATGGTCCAAGCTGCATTCTGATAGTACTTGCTTGTATTTGTATTCTTTACACGGGGAGTTTTTAAATAATAGTGCATCCATGTGTTGTAAATTTATCACATAGCGCTTCCTGTTGGAGTTGATGTCTTTAGCGTTTTGTTAACTTTCTTAAGGCCGAATTATGTAACAGATGGTTTCAACCACATATAAATTTTAAATAAACAATCCAAACTTGATAAAGTAGTCTATATGTCGTGCAAGTAAATACCCACCTTATTGTTTTAAGACTAAATATAAATACTCATTGCCGAATATACTATAGTTTGTTCTTTAGTCGAGTGTGTCGCTAAAAAAGTTCACATACTGGAATATTTATACTTACAAGGACTGTTGTGTGATTCAGCATATTTTTAGAAGTCACATCTTGATTTATGAGTGATATTAAGTAATTAAAATCATGCGAGTCGTCTAAATATGTATATATATATATAACTCATATAATCACCATCTGTATGGTACTGTGAAGATAGAATAATGCATTCAGATTCTGCTGAACTGAATTGTCTAAAGGAATAAAATATTGCCGGATGTGGGTTTTGGTATAAATGCGATCAGCGTCCGTGTATAAGTCATAAGCCCCAGAGTTGTTCCTTATGCTGGTCTATTTACCGCCCTGTAGGTGAAGATGGGCAACATAAGTATGTATATGTTCGCATTACTTTGGTAAGAGTTATGTAGAAACAGTTTGTCCTAGGTGGATTTATCATTTCACATTTCTTCAAATAAAATTGTCCTTTGAATAATAGGCTTTTTATTAAAATATTATTCATTAAGTAAAAGTCTAAGCATAATTGTTTATCTGATGAAACAAACTACTTCTTGGAACTTCTGAAGAATTCCATAAAAAAAGGAATACTTCATCATAGGGAGAAAGTTTTACGATTACATACTATAAATCATGGTGAATAATATTAAACCAAGTTATGTAGCTTCTTCTCTCATGATTTCCTAAAATGGTATTGAGTGCAAACGATTGGCACTTATTATTGTATGAAAGCTGGACAGTGGATATATGTATGAGAGCCTTGGACAGTTGACAACCAACCACAACAAACTCGCACATTTAAAATACATTTTGTTACTGATCATTGCAGAGAAATCCACTTCAAATTATTAAAGATTCTGCATTCTTATAGACGTGTCAGACTACTTGAGAAAACTGGTTATGAGCAAAGATGAAATCTCAGTTTGTATGTCATAACTGGAAAAGTGGAAACTGTTGTAATAATCTTGAAACCTAATTTAAATTTTCACTAGAATTTAGATTCTAAGACCAGAGCATCTGTTTCGTAATCTGTATTTCACACTTTGATTTGATGGTGTTAAATTTCACATGGAGTTTACTGTAAATTAGAATAAAATATAATTATGCTGTATAATGTCCAGTAAGGTGGCTCTCAATTTCGAGTCCTCTGTGGACCAGAATTTACATGCATAAGGTAGAAGATGAAAAAAGCATTAACTTTGAACAAGTTAAATTGACATGATCAGATTAAGATACAATTGTTTTCTTTCATTAGAGAAATTGCTTAACCTGAATGAAACATCTGGATGTTACGACATTTAAACTGCCACCCATTTTATTTTTTCATGAAAACTCTTGTTATCTTCACATTATGTATGAGAAAATTTCAGAAAGTAGAAGGCATGTTTATGTTGTACACATAACCGGTTATTATTTTGAAATTAGTGTTATGAAACGATCGAAAAGGAAATCTTGACGCAGAGCCAATATAGCTTGATACAGATGTTTAAGCAGTTGGCAAGATTCGGACATTTATTAAAGATTGCGTAACACTTGCGTAGTCAATATCTGCTCAGACATTCTATGAAAATTGATGTGAGAGTAGACCGTAGTAAGTATGTTCAACTCAGTACACTCAACCACTGATTTGCTGGTGCCTATGATGCAGTTGTAATCCATGGTTAAAAACTTTATGCGTGTTAAAACTCGGTCAGCAACTTCCGTATATACCGATCCTTTTGTAATGAATATTACATTATTACAAATCTTACAGTCTACGATCTCATTCTTCTACTTTTGCGTAGCTACTTATTTTCGCATTTTTACCCAATCTCACACTGTCATATTCCACTTCTTGTTGGCTTGACTATTCATTTGCATTACTCTTGAAGCTCACTATGACTTCATGAATAATTTCAACCATAAATTGTGAGTAATACATAGCATTGAATTTCTCCTAATAAAGTTAATTTTTACTGATTCATCCTAAATCATCTTCTTTTGAAATATTTTATCATTGGGGAAAATTCAGGGTTATTCTGATTCACAACAGCCGCGTTCATCGTCTTCATCATCATCATCATCTTATCTATTATCATCAACGACACCACCAACCTCAAAGTTCATTACATCTAACACACATGATTCCTTACATTCGATATCTGATCAAGCTAATGCAACTGGTACTACCTGCACGTCTGTTACAACAACAACTACTACTACTACTACCACTACTTCGAATACATCTACGGCTGGGAAATCAACTTATACACTTGGAAAAGAAATTGAAATTGAATTAGGTAAATCACATCTTTTAGTGTTATACATTGTGTTAATATATTGTAATATGATCGATGTGAAGCACAATAAATAATATTCCGAAATCGACATATTTTTATTATCTGTGAATGCCTGTTTCAATTATTCACAATGAATTAGTTCCATGTTATTAATTGTCGACAGATTGATACGACGCAATTGGAATGAGACTACAGAGTAATGATCGTATGTTTTAAATATGTATAAGTTACTGAAAAGGTCAAATAATAATAATATTGAACAAACAACTTCCTAATATTTAGTAGTAAACATATATCTAAAATGATTTATCGGGTGAATTTATTGATACAGGAATAAAGGAACATCTAATATCCTGTTTAAAGTTTTAAACTCTAGAGGTAAGTCTATAGTATGTTCGGTGTAATTTTTGCAGCATAGTTTTTAGTTGTAGAGATTTTCCAGTGATCTGTTTGATTGGCATATGATTTTCATTACTGGTTGACCTAATTTGAAGGTACACTTAAAATTTACACAACAATTGGCAACTTTACAATTAGTACCGAATTCTCTAGCAATCGACACGGATGATACTTCAAGGGATCAAAACGAACGACTTTTTAAATATCTTCCTCACTGTACGTCTGTTATAACTTGTGATCGCTTCGATGCTCCGTTAGTGTATAACGTGATAATACCGTCGACCAGAGAGCAGTGAATTATCGATTGGACCAGTGACACACAAAAGCCGTATGAACAGTCTTGAGTACTTGTCAGTCCTGCTATCTGCCTAGCCCAGCCAGTTAAGTCCAGAACACCAATAACAGCCTCTGTAATATGAATCATTATTCTCAAACAAACTGGGTTTATATACCAATCAAAGAGTCCACATCGTACCATAAAATAGAAAATAACATTTGTACAAGATTTGGCCAAATATTTCTGTGAATAGGGTAACAATAATTAATGGACTAAGGATAACTCAAGAGTGGTTAATCATATAAAAATAGTTTATAGGTCAAAACTAAGCTCACAATAAGATGGACATGAATATGAATGGATCCCAAAGTTACCATTCACTATTGTCATCGGAACTTAACAATTTCATTAAATCAACATCTCATTAGATTTTCCTTCTTTTGGCTTTGTACCAGTAAGTATTTGAAGAGATTGACAGTTTGGTAACTGAGACGAATTACACCTTGCTCTTCTTAAACTTTTTTCTTAGTCAATATAACCGATAAGCGACTTTCGTTATGAAACAGTCAAATATAAATTATGTCAAATGCAATATATAAATACAATCTGTTAGGACTCTCATAACTTAAATGAATAACACTGCTGGACAAATTTTTCATCAGTGAACATGATCCTTATATATATATATATATATATATATATATATATATATATTTGTGTAGGTAATCCAAATATGGAAAGGTAGATCGAAAGTTTGAGAAGGCTTTAATTGTCGTCTTTTGGAACTAATGTGGTTTAAATGTGATGTGAACAAAATAATAGAAAAGCAACGGAAGCTGATTTTGGTGACTTTATTTCACTCCATATCTACCTTAACGTCCGGTTTGTACATAATTATATTTTTCTAATTGTTTATGTGTTGTGGTCGTATTGTGGTGTAGGCTGCTCATATCCACTTAAGTAGTATACAACGATAGTCAGGAATAGAATGTATTTCAGTAGAAGATAGAGAAGAAAAGAACAAAAACAGAAAGCAATTGGCATAAAAATGCAGAAACAATGAAATCTGAGACGACTGACTGATATTTGCAAAAGGAACAGTCAAGTTTGAAACAGTTGATTGATATTTTTCAAAAAAAGTATTTAATGACGTGGTTCTCAGATTTTACTAAAACGTTCTGTAATTTCAGGTTCAAATAAATTCGATTTTCTCCACTGCTGTTCTTGTTCACTACAGTATTAGTCATCTATTTATGTATACCTTTTGTTACATTAATTTGAATCGGGAATCAGGAATCAATTGAGTAGTGTTCAAGTTGACTCGTTTTCTCACTCTGGCGCGTGTCAACCAATCAGATGATAGTCGTCGATGTACACTTTTAAGGAATCCGATATTAGGATGAAACAGCAGTGCAGTGCTTCCAGGTCTTCATTGCTGGTCTTACATTGGTCGGTCTACGACCTCAATAATTACTACTAATTTACATTACAATTTTAAGTATTCACTATAATATATGAATGGATGTCAATCAATGTTATTTTAAGCAGATATGGATAGTGACTAGAAGTGAAATCCAATTTGACGCGCATTTCGTCCTATTTAGGACTCGTCAGCTATATGAAGCTGCATGTCAGAGTTGATGTTCACTCTGGGACTCGAACCCAGTACCCTCGCTTCAAACGCCATCGCGTTATTCACTCGGCCACTAAGTCCTGATAGCCACTTGCTTGTGCGACGGGGTGAAGTTTAAGTTCATTCAAGTATTGCTTGTTTAAATCTTTCACTGCTTGCCACTATCCATTTCTGCTTAACATGCTTGTGAATTGAGGCTATATCGAGGCAATACGCACTGTATGCACATATGCCAATTAGAGACTGACCAGTTGCAGTCCTAAAACATCGATGGGAAGATTCAAACAAGCAATACTAAATCAATATTATTTTAATTTGTCTGCTTCCAATATTATTACCTTATTTGTTAACATTCAGTTATCTCAACACTGTTGATAATCATAGTAACAATTGTTTTTATTATTATCATTATTATTATTACTACTACTACTACTACTGTATTCATCCATTTATCTATCATATGATCGATAAGCTATATTCAGTCAGCTTATTTATTCGTTAAGGTTATCATTATTATTATTATTTGTTTTTTAATGAAACAGATATTTTACTACTTTTTTTAGTTGATAATTATTACAATGATTCTGTGTAACTGGACAACTGACGTACATATACAAACATTTATACACACACACACACACAAAATAATGTAAGTATAATCCATGGATCAAAAAAGGGAACTACTTAACACATGTATGTATATGACATTTATTTCATGTGATCAGAAATAAATTTTTTTTAAAAAAAACAAACAATGATGTACTTGATAAAAAAAACAAAACAACAATATGACAAAATATGTGCATTTGTGTGAATGTGAAACAAAAAAAGAAACCTATAAAATAGTGTATTCAAAAGCATATAATCTATACAATATAATGTATTATTGATATGAATGCTTGTATACACATGTGTATACAAATGTATTACATGTAATAAAAATAAGTGACGTGCATTTTTAAATGATCAGAACAAAATGATAATTTATTACTATATGAAGAATAGACTACTTGTCTATTATTCTCTTCTTATAAATTATACATATATAACTGGAAAGAAGTTGTATTCAGAATGAATCGTTTTTCTAATTTTGTGGTTCTTAATGTTAATGTTAATATTATAAAAAAAAAAACTAAAGAATTCTTAACAAAAAAGGGAAACATTCTTATCAACGAACATAATTTTTATTTAAGCAAATATGGATAGTGACTAGAAGTGGAATTCAATTTGACGCGCATTTAGTCCTATTTAGGACTCGTCAGCTAGATGAACCTGCATCTCAGAGTTGATGTTCACTCTGCAACTTGAACCCAATACCTTTCATTTCAAACGCACAGTATGCACATATGCCAATTAGAGACTAACCAGTTGGAGTCTTAAACATCAATGGGAAGATTCAAACAAGTAATACTAATTGAATTTAAACTTCACACTATCGCCCAAGCAAATGGCTATCATGACTTAGTGGGCTAATGGATAACGCGATGGCGTTTGAAGTGAAAGGTACTAAGTTCGAGTTCCAGAGTGGACATCGACTCTGAGATGCAGGTACATCCAGCTGACGTGTCCCAAATACGACGAAATGCGTGTCAAACTGGATTGCATTGCTTATAAGAACATAATTTTCAAATTTTTTTTAACGTCATATTTTTGTCTTATATGAAATTCATGATGAACAGAAACTAGAAGTAGTAAATTAAGAATACTGATTTATGTTTTTAACCATTTATTTGCGTTATCTTTGTTGATGTTATGATACTGAATTTAAGAAAGTATTTTGTTTTAATGTACCTAAGCTCACAATAGTTTGATTGTGTGACTCGGTCATATTGTAGTAAATAAAACACGGGTTGGAACAATCGAATGTATTTAAGCAAAAATTTCAGACTATCACACTAAATTCTGACAACCATACAGCAAACAGTTAATTTGCAAACTAACAACCAATTGTCTCAATCTTCACTGTTCCTTCTGTAAATATCAGTTCATCTTCCCTATTTTCATTGTTCAAGCATTTTCCTACCAATTGCGCTTCATTTCAGTTCTTTCCTTATCGATCTTCTAGTCTGACCATCATCATATACTATTTATATTGATATAAGTAGACCACACCACTATATATATATATATATATATATATATATATATCAACATTGTTTCATTCTACAATGTTCTTGTTAGAATAGAAACAGTGATTCAGTTTCATTTCATTTTCGCATATTACCCCTCATGGAGGAGTATAGGCCAAGCACCAGGTTTCTCCATCCAAGTCTGTCCTGGGCTATCCTTTCCAGTTGTTTCCAGTTGCTATTCATCCTCTTTATATCTGCATCCAATTACTGACATAGTGTGTGCTTTGGTCATCCTATTTTCGTTTTACCTTCACGATTTCAAGTTAACGCTTGCCTAGTGCTGCAGTTTGATGATTTCCGTAATATATGTTCTATCCACTTCCAACGTCTTTTGCAAATTTCCTCTTCAGTTAGAAGCTGATTCGAGTGACTCTATGGTGATAATCAATCACAAATGAGTTCAACTTTAAAAACCCTAGTTGAAAGAATTAATTTATTAACAGAAACACTTGGTAGTAGGAAATCTATTTTATTTTTAATTAGAGTGAGACTAGTATGGTGAATTAACGTAAAAATGGTCTTTAAAATGGCTTTTGTGATTAGACCTTTGACAGTTGCT